AATTCCCCAGCCAGGCTGGCTGGGGGATTCTGGAAGTTGAAGTCCACACATCTTAAAGTCACCAAGGTTGAGAAATGCTGGTCTACAGGGTGATAACAGAAGTCAAGATGGTTGTGGCACACACAATTAAAGCCCTGCATGCACATAATAAAGGGGCAGGACTTCTGTCACATGGTTGTGGCTGCCATCTTGACTTTTTACCTCCTACAGCTACATTTGACAACAGACCCAACAAGGGAGCACCTTCTTCCCTCATACTGGAAGCAGTATGGATGTAATACCAACCTGCAACAGTAGGGGGTGGTATGCAATATGTTAACAGCTGAAGTTCGAGTTTTTAATCTTTTATTAAAGCTAAGGTTTGTTTTTATGTTTTCCAGCTGATCTTAATATTGAGCCTATATTCCTACTCTAACTTTTTGCTGTGATTTAGAAAGGTCCTGTCCTTGGAGCTGTGGGAGCCTACGACTGGTCTGGAGGGGTGATTCTGTATCAAACCAGCAACCGAGACCCACAATTTATTAATATCTCCAGCAACTTCAAAGATATGAATAATTCATATCTTGGTAAGAAATAAAACTCCAAATTCCCACCCTCCATCATGTTCTATCAATATGCATTGCCCTCTGAGACAACTGCACCTGTTGGCAAACCTCTCTCTTTCCAATAAGGGATTCTACTGAAATTATCATAATTAGACTCTTTAAATTATCTCTGTTATTCTGGAATATACAAAATAGCAGAGATCATTTAGGTTAGACTACATTTTTCCATTTAATTCAATGGTAGGAAGCAAGTTCACTATTTTGCCTTCAGATATGGTGCATGTTTTGCAATTGATCGTGCCCATCACGGCAACTCTTTTGAGAACATGCCTGTAATGTGCTGTCAAAATTCTGAATGCATTCCCCAGTCCCAAAAGATGTGGGATCCTGCTAGACGACGCTCTAATTCTCTCTAATTTTAGCACCATTCTGAAATGTTACTTGATGGGTTTTGCAGCCTCTGCTCTTTGATGTTATAATGAGCTTTCTTGTCTTTTTTATTGTCTACAACCTCAAGCATCTGGAAAGTAAAAGCTGCAGTTTCAATGAAGGAACAGTCAGTAACTGGGTTTTGGCAAACCTTACTTTTTATGGGTAAGATGGGATACCTTAAAAAGACTCAATTTGTCTTTGAATTGAGACATTGTCCTCCAGATGAATGCATCCCAAGCTTGACTGAGCTTCTGAAAGTTTTCCAGGTTCCTGTATCATCATATGACTTATTTTAGCTGTTTCCTCTCCCCTTTAGGCTATTCTTCTCAGTCTGTCCAGTTCAATGGGAGGAATGGTCTGGTAGTGGGAGCCCCTCGCTATGATCACATTGGCAAAGTTGTTTACTTTGAGAATGAAGCCCTGAGTAGGGAATGGCAGCTGAAGATGGAGGTAGTAGGAGAACAGGTATGAGCTGAGATAAAAGAGCTCCAACAGAATTGAGAGCATGGATAAAGTCTCTAAAGGAGACTCTGCATCAGGTTTCACCCAGACCACTACTCAAACTTAAAGGTTATTGGGCAGAGATTCAAGGGCACAGGCTGAATACATACACGTATATCTTCAGGTTCAAATCTTACATCTCTTCCTCCTGTCTGTGTGCCCCAATGGATGGAGAGTGGATCGCTTCTCTGAGGAAGGGCCAGCTGATAATGTTCAGATGTTATTATGTAATGCACCTGTCTGGTCTCAGTCTCTCTCTACATCTGGCCTTGGTTCTTCTAGCTTTCACACTCTGAAGGCTACAGTGATTACACAGAAGTAAGATGCACTTTACAAGTTTTGTCTGATAGATGAATACTCCATAGATAATAAGTCTCCCTGGCACGTCTCCTTAGATTACTCTTTATAACTTCAAGATGTGTTGATATAAAAGTTCTACAATTCCAGCATGGATGGACATGCTGCGAGGAGACGATGGGACTAGCATCCCAAAATACCTGGACCCACCAGGTTGGGCAAGGCCACTAGATATTTTCCATAGCTTGCTTTTTGGCCTCAGATTGAGATTTTGATCATTCTGCTGGTTGGCCTCTTTCAAAAGAGGCAAGAATTCCTGCTAATGGGAAAAAGAATTTCTCCCAAGCTTTGCAGAGAGCTTCATCGTTAGAAGATAAAGATTATTATACTTTGCTTTGGGTTATACTGCCCTGAGCCAGAAACAAATCAGCTCAGCTGCCAAACACTAACAGTTGATTTTAGAGGGTTGCAAAGAACCATCTGGAAGTGCCCTACATTTCTGAAACTGTACCCAATAGTGTCTATATGCTTCACAACATATTGTTGCAGTCCTAAAAATTAGATTCTTCAACAACAAAAACATAATACCTTGCATCAAGCAGTAACATCTCTGCTTCTGCAATTTGAACATAAAACATGAAAATGATTGTCTTGCTCTATTTTTTTTTTAAAATAGAATGAAATTAAGAGGTGGTTATTTGATGCAACAGGTTGGTTCTTACTTTGGAGCAACTCTATGCTCGGTGGACCTCAATCAAGACTCAATCACAGATTTGGTTCTGGTTGGAGCTCCCATGTACTATGATGCCATTGCAGGAGGAAGGGTTCACATCTGCCTTTTTAAGGTAAGAGGGGAGGGGGGACTTCTGGATCTATGTAACAGACCATAAATGGTGGTTGAAGATGGATATCTGTATAGTTTCAATGATCTGCAATATCCCCTCAGTAATTCTCAGTTTATGGATCAGGTTGAGGAGAAACCTTTGCTTTTACTATTTCTTAATATTTTTTGAAGGCTGAACTCCAATACTGCAATGTTATATTTGAGATGAGTGTGACACTTCATATAAACTTTTAATTTGGCAATGGAATCTTCCACTTGTTGCATGTGAGGAAAACTGTGTTTTAAACGCAGGCTCTGTCAGGGCTTTGAAAGAGAGAGCGAAACTGTACATGTGTCAGGAGATGTGAAACCCTGAAGATCCATTTATACAGTAAACCCCAAATGGGTTGAGAACCATATTTCCTTCTCTCTGGGGAACCCTAGAAATGATGGTTTCTGCAATGAGAGGAAAAGCTAGATGTTCAGAATCTTCACTAAACTACAGAATTCCTTGGGGATTCCTTGGGGAATTATGGCAGTCCATGATGGAATAAAATAGTATCATAATGTAGATATGTCCAGAGATGTTTAATAAAATATATTGAAGTAGAATCTAGAACATTTAGGAAATTTGTGGAGAGACATGGGGGCTGCCATCTGGGAAACTATTTCTTTTGGATTGCAGCATTCCAGTGTATCTTTCTTACATTTTACAGAACGAAGCATTTTCTTGTACAGATGGCAACACAGCTTTGAAAGGACAACCAGGACATATGTTTGGTCGCTTTGGGGCCAGCATTGCAGAAGTGGGTGACATCACTGGGGATAAATGGACGGATGTAGCTATTGGCGCTCCCTTGGAGAATGAGAATACGGGAGCTGTGTATATATTTTCAGGGGAAAGGGCATCGATCAAGCCCTCTTATGTTCAGGTGAGCTGAGCCTCAGGCCTTGCTTGATCAAGTGGCCCCCTTTCTCCTCTGGAAGCAAGATTTCAAGAGGTAGAGGTTCCTTTGCACAACTCCTCTCAAGAATTGCCATTCTTTGCTCACTTCTTCTTTGTAGAGCCTCAAAACCATGTCCTTATGCATTGCAGTGTTTTCTGTGTTGTCATTAAAAAAAAGGAACCACAGGGATGGGCTGATGGACACCCAGGTGCTGGGAATGCTCCGGGGTCTTTCTTCCTGATTTACTGGGAAGACTTTACCCTGTACCACTTACCCATATGTGCAGGGAGAGTGCTGAGTACATATGATTTCAAAGAGTCATCCTCCCCCACCTCCTACCCCCACATGACCTGCCTTTCAGCCACTACCCACAGCAGACAACTGGAAGGGAGGAGTTAGGAGGCATGTAGATATGGCCATTGTGTCTTCTAGCATCACCGCAACGTTGCTGTGTGGAGTTAATAGTAACATGTCCAGGCTATGTATTGCTACAACCATGGCTGGATGAGGCCATAATTACAATGAATCTCTAAAGAAGAAATGGCCTTTGTCATTGATGATGATGAAGATGATGATTATCTATCTATCTATCTATCTATCTATCTATCTATCTATCTATCTATCTATCTACTTACCTACCTATCTACCCATCTACCCATCTACCTATCTATCATCTATTGAAACTCAAGATGGCGAACATGTTTAATACTCCTGCCCCCTATTTTCCCCACAACAACAACTCTGTGAGGTGGCTTGGGCTGAGTTTCCCCCAATGGATTCAATCCATCCCATTTCTTTCTTATTCTGTAGGAGTTCTTTTTCCTTTGCTTCTTAAATAGTTGCTTGAATTTCAGCTGTATTTCAGCTTATGTCAGGCATCAATTGCTAATTTCCCCACCTTATTTTTCTTCATTTTTTGCCTAGTAAAATAGTGTTGCACTTTTTTTTTTAATGGAATGAAATCAGTCTCCTTTTGAAACAAACAAGAACATATATTTGGACGATGAGACTATTTGGGGGATTAAAAAATAATTTATTACTATTGTCCTGTCTACTTTCCCCAACCTCTGCTTCTGCTCAGGTAAAAGTGGGAAAAGTTTAGTGGTGGAAAAAGGCCCTAACATGACCCAGGAGAGAAACCTAACAGTGCATACTAGTAGAGAAAATTGCCCATGACTTTTGTAGGAAATGTTTGGATTTTGTTTTACACTATTAGTTTCCCAAATAATTCCCTAGTTTGAGTTTCTCCCAATAATTGGGACTACAGCTCCCACAAGCTCCAGACATTATGACCAGTAGTTAATGATCCTGGGACTTGTCATCCAAAATAACTGGAGTATCCATATGTCTCTTAGAAAACAAGGTCAACGTCCTGGTCTTCTCATTTATTATTAATTTCATCTTTGATTAATCACAGGAGCCCTCAGGCACCAAAGACTCACCCCCATTTTTCCTTGCTTACCTTCCTTGCTCTTCCCACAGCGCATTGAGGGACAAAAGTTTTCTGGAGGGTTCTTTTATTTTGGCCAAGCTATCAGTGGAGGAACAGATCTTACGGGGGATGGACTGAAGGACATCATTGTGGGACAACAAGGAAGAGTTTTTCTGATGAGGTGAGGAGAGAAGACAGCTCTCAGTGCTTCTGAGCACTTGAATGTGCATTATCAGGCCTATATACTGAGTAAAAAGATATGTTTTCTATAAGGCATGGTTATAGTTATGTATTTGTTGAGTGTTTACATTCCTTGTCTACCCTGACAGAGAGACTCAGTCCCTCTCCATCCTGTTGTGGATCTGACTCTGCAGTTGAGCTGATGAACTTAATGAAGAACTGCCACATTGAGGAAATGCTGTCCTAATAATAGGGGGCTTGAGGGGGTGCAAAAATGGTTAAGATGGCAGCCGAACCACGTCAACAAAGCCCTGCCTGTTTTTTTATGGGAAACACATATTTAAAAGAAGGGGGCAAGGCTTTGAGCATGTGGCTATTACTACCATCTTGACTTTTTCTACTTCCCGTAGACGCCCTGGATCACGGTCCTACAGTGTGAATGCTTGAGCTGTGATGAATCAGGCAGTTTCCCACTGGCAGAACCTCTCGCTTAGCCTGTCTCCTGGCCCCCTGGGTTCAGTCTCTCCTGCAGAAGTCAAGACCTCAAGGCCCTCTGCTTCTGAAACGAGCAAATCTATTGTGGTGGCTTTCTCACTGCAAAAACAAACCCAGCAAGACAACAATGAAGCTGGAGGAGGGGGGTATTGGCTGAAAGCCAGTGTTTGAACACTCTCGTTGCTGCTGGAGGAAGCATTGTTTGATTCACTGGAAGAAGTGAGCATAGTAAGGTTGGCACTGGTGAGGTCCCTTGCCACGTGGTATGAAAATGCTTCTGAGGGATTGGGGGGGTGAAGCCAGTGGCTGTGTGATGTGTCCTCAGCTCAGATTGTTGCCTGCCAGACTTTCTGCTGGGTCATGTTGAATGCTATTTCCCTGACCACAGGGAATCTTAATGAGGATGATCTTCCCCTTTTCTCCTTGCTTCCAGGTCTCGTCCTGTTCTGCAAGTGAAGGTCTCCATCATGTTCCACCCACCTTCCATCCCCGCCTCAGTCTTTCAGTGGAACAGGCCAACATCTCAGGAGTATGTGACTAGCATGGCCGAAGTGTGCTTCACTGTTTCGAAAACCACTCAGGATGACCTAGGTGATGGGAAATGCTGTAGCCCTTCTGAGTCCTACACCAAGCAGCACCCCTCAGACACATGCAGTGCAGACTCTTGGCTGATTTAAATATGCAAAGAGGCATGTGGTATAGCCCTCTTATTGGCCTCCTGCTTCCAACACTGTGTCCCTGATGTACCTTTTCTAGCATTTTTCCATACACACTGAGAGGATCTCCCAGATACCACCTCCTGCACTGAAGAGTCTAACAGATAACTGCTACCACTATTTCTTATTTTATCTCTTCATTTAATTTGTTCATTCCAATATTTTCCTCACTCACAGCATGGCTCACCTCTCTCTTGTAGGTATTGGATGAAAGTAAGGAAATAATCTGTCACCAATTGTATTTAGCTTAATGTCTGCAAGTTGGCCACATTTTGTGTCCTCAGATTATTTAATATTATTATTAAATTAAGATGAAATGTTGACACCATTCTTTATCAAGCAATTCTGCATAGAAACATGGGGCTGGCGCAGGTGGGGGGTGCATCCTGACAGAGTGAAATCTTCACACTCTGCTGAGAATAGACATTTTTCTGTTTGAAGGATAGCATTCCATAAGTGAAGATTTGAAACTCTTCTTTCTTTTCCACCTAGATGAAATCTATAGTGAGCTTTGGTACAGCCTGACCCTGGATTCTCACAGAACAAATGCTCGAGCCTCTTTCAATTCCAAGTCCCCCATCCTGCAAGCAAGTGTTTCAACTGGACTTGAGAGGAAGTGCCAGAACCACTTAATTGAACTCCCCGTGAGTTGCCGTTATGTCCTGATGGCCTTTTCATAGACACCTTTGGGATAACAGAAGGTCTGTGGTCAGAGAATGAAATTCCTCTGCCTTTTGACTTTTTAAATCAAAAGCTTGGGATCTGATTGGTCTCGATCTCCCAGGACAGGGGGTCAAAGGGCCTCATCCTCTTGGTGCCTCAAATTACCTGTATCCCAGATAGCAAGCTCTTTTCTCCTTTCTTTATAAGTCATAAGACTTGTCTTCATCCATGACTGGCTGCACGCATCTCGGTGCTAAATGTTAACTATCCTCTCAGTTTCCTGGCTGCAGATTGCCTGAAAGGCAGAAAATCAACTGATGCAGTCTTTTCACAACAGGCATGGAAACCCTGATAAGAAACATATAACATTGTTAGAGGATGTAATCTGGATATCTGTGTTTAATGATGTTGCAGCTTTCATTTGGCCTGCCCAGTTTTATTACTTTTTTGGGGTAGGGGTGGGCAGAGAGAGGCTTTGGATGCATCAAAAAAACAACAACATTTGTAGCATTTGCTTGGGTATTGATTGCACTCTTGGCTCTGTTGTTCAGCTCAAGAAGAGATGTTCCCTGATATGATAAAAAAGTAGTTCATTCTTTCTGCAGAAGGAGCTCATTATGCATTTTTAGATACTTTTTTTCCTGTATTGTCTCTCTCAGGTTGGCACTGAGGATACCGTGACACCCATCACCTTAGGGCTGAATTACAACCTCACAGGGAAATCCATCACTAAAGTCCCAGATCTCCTGCCCATTCTGAGCAAACACTCAAAGCGAAACTACACAGCCGAGGTGATTGTCCCTAAGGTTTATCATGGTACGGCAAAAGCCAGCAACTGTTGGAGCCATTGTGGTATAGTGTGAAGATGTTGGACAAGGATGATGAGGAGATCCCCCCACAGCCATGGAAGTTCACTAAGTGATTTGGGGCCAGTCCCTTTCTCTCACCCCAAAAGCCAGAGCAGGGTTGTGGTTGTGATGTTGGACTAGGAGCAGGGAGACCCAAGTATTATTCTACCCTCAGTCACAGAAGGTCCCTGAAGCGCTTTGGGTCAGTTGCTCTCAACCTGAGCCAATGTTGTACAGTGGTGAGAAGGTGCTGGAGTAGGAGTGGGGAGACCCGGGTCCTACTTCCCCCTCAGTCACAGAAGGTCCCTGGGGGACTTTGGGCATGCTGGCTGGGGAATTCTGGGAGTTGAAGTCCACACATCTTAAAGTTGTCAGGTTTGAAAAACACTGCTCTATGACATGTCTGCTTTCATCTGTCAAGCTTAACACAAACCTCCTCTCAGGAACATCTGTAGGGGAGGTGGTCAAAGCAGGCAAGATGGTGGCCACAGCATCATGATTAAAGCCTCACTTGTGTATGTGTGTGTTGTAAATGCATATACATTGATGCCACAACTGCCATCTTACCTGTTTTAGACCTGTTTTCAACCCTGCAATATGTTGAGATACCATTGCGTCCTTTCTGGTAAGGAAAGAAGTCCATTTCTGTCTTCTTCAGAATCTCATGGTGACTCTTGAGTTGCCTTTAAGTCACTGTACCAGCCCAGTAGAAAATAAATGTGTATCACAGGTAAGGAAACCAATGTCATAGCAGAAGTGAATCTTGTTGCAATGTTCAAGGAATAGAGCCAAGTCATCAAAGCTGAGGTGTACTTTGTCTTTAACCCCCGCCCCCTTTTTTTGTAGCTCCCCTTTGAGAAGAACTGTGGCAGTGACGGGAAATGTGAAGACATTTTGCAAACCTCGTTTAATTTCTCAGGGTAGGAGAAAGATGATCTCCCACACTTTCTGCCTTACATCTCTATTATCGATGGCTCAGATCTCAGATCCTGAATACTCTACCCAATTTCCCTTTCTAACAACTTTGGGAAGGTTTCTATGACGAGGATATTTTCCAGTCCTTTCTGTCGTGCAGAGTTGTTATAGATTCATCCAGCCGCTGGACAGATACTCTGCCTTACCGATCCATGGAGATTTTAAGAGTTAACCTCCATCCACTTGTTCCTTCATTCTGATTGGTTATATCTATACTAGTGCTTGTGCAATGTTATCCCCAATCTGTTCAAATACTATGCTTGTTAGATCAAACAATCCTGCTTGGAACCCTTATAAGTTAAAAACCTAACAAGATGACTTGAATCGTGTTTCAAAGTACATTGCAAACTAATTGCTTTAATGGAATATGCTTGTGAAGATTAATAGGATTAATGGATTCAGAATTCCTTGACTAATATGCCCTCTTCAAATAACGGGAAAACTTCAAACAAAGAGAAAGGGTTGGATCGAGTCCATGTTACATGCACTAAAACCCATTGAAAGCAATGTGGGAAGTTGCTCATGACAAAAGGTCCACTGATTTCACATGGAACTGGGTTTAACCAGTTTGTTCTCCAAGATTGTGTATGTTAACTCAGAAGTAAGTTCTATTCGTTGCAATGGGGTTTACTGCCTGATAAATGGAGTTTGGGATTGAAGCGTTAAACTAGATCCAACCCCAAACTTTGCTCCTCTGAAGCCTCTGAGTAACCCTAATGTGATACCTGGTGACCACAGTGTATGTGCTACACTTTCCCTTGAGCCTATTGTTTTAATTAAAGAAATGAATGGGAGGAATAACCTGTATTTCCAACAGTGAATCTGGGCTCTGCATAGACCCCAGTGGTATTCTTAGGAAATAAAATGGTAGATTATAGCAGCCAAATGCTTGTTTGCCATTTGCTATATAAATATTTAATAATAATAATAATAATAATAATAATAATAATAATAATAATAATAATAATAATTTATTAAACTTGCATGCTAGCTGACTCTCAACATCTCTGGGCAGCTCACAACAATCAAAGAAATTATAATGCAATCAATAAAACATAAAAAAGTTGTTTGGTGATTGTCCAAACCTTGCAAGAAGATTTTATCTGTAACATGTTCTCAATATTCCCAAGGGCCCCCTCCAAGCTTCTCTGTAGAAGCTGAGTTTAGTAATTACAAATAGTGTACAAAGGAAGTAAGTAGAAGGTAAACTGGGATCTACTGATAGTTTGCTGGGAGATTTTTATTGAAACTGTAGACAAAATCACGTCCTCCTTTCTCCCCTATCCTAAATTATACTGTGGAAGTAAAGAAATGTGGGAGTAACCAGAAGTGCATTTTTCTGTGACTTGATTTGGAATTCAATTCAGTTCTCAAATTTCTAGATTGAGAATACAATTGTTCTATCTGTTTTACAGTCAGCTGACTCCTAATCAGTTTAACTGATTAGGAATCCTTAATGACTTAATGACATGAAGGAATCCTTAATCACTTAATGACTCCTTAATGTATTCTAAGTGCATGAAAACCATCCGGCATCCCTGACATCTTAGCCTTGTAATGGGATACTTAACATATTCAGCAGTGACAGATGGCAAGGGGTGGTTTTTCTTTAATATGGTTGAATGCAAATATAATTGTAAGTGCTGAGTTTATTGATTTTCTCATCAAATATTGTGGCCTGTGTATGAGCTCTGGAATCTGAGACCTCTAACCAGACACGTAGATTTCTTTCTTGACTCCCACTCAGCCTGGAAACTTTAGATGTGGGTTTGACTTCTGAGTTCAGCATAACAGCCTCCCTTCAGAATCACGGGGAGGACTCCTACCACAGCACCCTATGCTTCTTCTACCCTGCAGGGCTGTCCTATCGCAAAGTCACATTGCTGCAACAGGTAAGTGAAAAAAGGATGCCAGCAGAGGTGCAGAATAGGGGTGGGACCCACTTGGTTGCGATGTTCCTCCCCTCAAAACTTTGTATGCACCCCTGTCTCAGGCCAGCAGAAAGGTGACACGGGTCCAGTGCCGCTCAGCCCCTGCCTCAGAAGAAGAGGCTAGCCAAAATGCCACCTGCAGTGTCAACCACCCTATTTTCTGGAGTGGAGCAGAGGTGGGATCTGCTTCCTTTGTGTTTTTCACTGCCACAATGATTGAGGATGACTGTGGCTGTACCCCACTTACTCTCCCCATCTTTGCATGTTTCAGGCTATTTTTGTTGCCACATTTGATGTCTCCCCCAATGTTGATCTAGGGGACACACTGCAGATCATGATTAAAGCTGACAGGTAACATCCACGCTCCTGGATCTTATGGATTAATAGAGGCCAACAGTATTCAATTGTTGGAATATTCCCTTCATTGTTCCAAGGGCCTGAGTATGTGTGTGTGTGTGTGTGTGTGTAACTGAAATTATTATTTCAAAGTATGAGTTATTTGGGGGCAGTGTGAGATACTGTACTGCAGCAGCTTTCAAGTTGTCTCATTGGGGTGCCCTGGAATTTCTCTGAAGCTTTATTAGGGATTCTCATTAGGAAAATCAAAAACAAGAGAAGTGTCCCTTGAGGACAGTGTAGCTATCACAGTTGAGTATTCCCTGCAGTATGTGCAAAAGTAGTGAAACCTGAAAAGGTTGCCCGGGGTCATACTATGTAAGGACATGTTCTAGTGTCCTCAGTGGAGATCTGGTACTTGGCAGAAGGCAAATTCAAGTAGACAGTGACCTTCAAAGACCAAATGTTTGAAAATGCATGAATGTAAATCATGGTTTTGGTAAAACTCCACTGGCCTCCTTTATACTTTTGAGGGCAGAGCAAAAGAGTATTTAGCTGAAATAGAGTGATTTATAAAGAGGCCAAAAACATTGTGCGCTTCTCTATAGTAAGGTACTCTTGTCATCCTGGGATTTAATTTTTAACCTGTCCTATACTAATTCTGTAGGCCTCTTACACAGTTTTTCTCCCAGGGCCATGAAATTTTAGAAATAAAATTGATTATTGTTCCAATACCGGCCCTTGAAACAATGAAGGGAGATTCATATTAAGACAGGGCAAGACTGGGAGGTCAAAAAAAAAAAATGTAGCCAAAGATTCATGCTACGCATTATGACAAAGCATTTTTGCTGCAGTGCATGACAGGGACTGTGATGTAAAAAGCATAGCATGTTAGAATAATACAGGTTGCTTGAGATTTTCTTGATTAAATAAAATTTACCATGTTTTCTTCTACTTGTCCAGTGAAAATGGGGGCACCACCATCAAGGACACCCGTTATGAAGCCACCTTGCCTGTCAGATACGCTGTGTACCTCCTTATCAACATGTAAGTGACTATGGATATTTTAGAAAGAAGATAGAATGTGGACAATGCCCTCTGCAAAGCTCATTCCTCTCTCAGGGATACTGTCTCTGGAATCTTCTGTTTTTACCAAAGTTCTTTTCTCTGTTGAATCTTTTCAGGGTTGATGAGTCTACCAAGTATGTGAACTTCACCGCAGGCCAAGAAGAAGCACGCAAGAGTGTTGAACACCGATATGAGGTGAAGGGCAAAAGGAGTAGGAAAGTGTAGCCTGGAGGTTGGTGGGAGGAGGAGAAAGATATCACAGAGAAAAATTGATGGAAGGATGATGGGCAAAAGTGAGACTTCTCCTAAGTGAAAGATTAAAAGTAAGTTTACAAAATTCCATGATTCCATTGGTTTTCATAGAACAATTTAGTTTTCATGGCTCCTACCAAGAATCTAAGTGATAATTTAGTAAGGATACTGAAGATTGTTACCTAGAGGTCTACCAGATGATAAGCCTTTCCATCTTCCAGTTCTTCTCAGTCTTTTTAGAATGCACCAAAGATTTCAGTTGATTTGACTAATTGCAGATTTATTCCCACATTGGGATGCTATAACATGTCTGTATGTGTGTGTTAGAGCTTGCAGACAGCTGTTCACCAACCAGTGCTTGCTTGCTTTAATTTCAAATGGGCCAACAGGGGTGCCTGTGGAGGAGGGCGGTCAAAAAAGTCAAGATGGTGGTCATGTCCATGTGATTGAAGCTGCCATTTTGACTTTTCCCCCCCTTGTGGATGCCCCTATGAACAAAGAAGCATCTCTCCCCCATCTTCTCCAAAAGAAGAGAAAATAAGCTTTCCCCTCTCCTGTGATCCTTACATTTGACCATTTTTGAGGAAGGCCAATGGTTAAAAAGCATATCTTCCAAAGCTTCCCAGTCATCACTGCAGCAAATGCTGGCTGTCTTCTATCTCACACTGACTTGTAATGCTGGCACACCAGAAAGACCAAGACGTGGCTGCAACTGTGTGATCAAAACAGTATTTCCATTCAAGTGTAAAACAACCCTGGCACAAATATGGGTCATGATGCCATGCCCTTCCAGGGGTAAGGTGGGATTGGAGGGCAAAGGACTCATGTTGCCTGGGATTGGTGGGATTGCCCTGTGATCTGGAAGATCCTTGGTTGCCCTCCTTGGCCTGAACAACAATACTAAGAAATCCTGGGAAGTAGAACGCAAAGACTCTATATTCCTTTAAAGCAGTGTTTCTCAGCCTTGGCAACTTTAAGAGGTGTGGACTTCAACTCCCAGAATTCCCCAGCCAGCAAACTGGGTGGG